TTAACAGATTTTAGCACATTGTCTGTTTGTTTGAAAGCTGCATTTTCAGTGGATACACCTTTCAATACAATTATAAAGACTGTAAATTGTCAGTTTATTTGAACTTAATACCACACCTGACACTTCAACAAATCTACTCTGCCAAATGCAGTACATTTATGAAACTGAGCATTATAATCAAATTTCAACACAGTAAGAAACACATAATTTCAACGCAACCAAATAACTCAAATACTTTATCAACTTCAAGTAATCTACTACATCACAGAGCACAAATGATATTTCAATTTGTCTTATTCTCATCTGATACTATGAATTGAGGTAATAGAACTGATAAAGAGTATGAAGTTAGCAATGATACTTTTGGGTTACACTGTACTTTTTACAAAACACAACCTACCTGTTGTTCCTGCATTTGAAGTATGTTGGGTCACAGGTGTGGAAATCAGACGAACTGCAGGAAGAAGGTTCGTCTTCTCCATTTGAACAATCATGATCTCCATCACATAGCCATGATTTAGGGATACAGCGACCTGACTGGCACCTGTCATGGAAAGAAAATCCAAATCACCATGAAAATAACACCAAGCCTACAAAATATTGAAAACAATGACACACTATTTCTAATTGCAACTTTCTAACTTACTATGCTGTAATATTTATAGAGTGAAATTTAATCACTTTCTGTTTTGGAAGGTAACAGGTCAAGGATGATTGAGAACAAGGTGCTAGAAAGAAAGCCTGGTTTTAAGAAAGGGAATGCACTGCTGTCTAAGGTTAAGTACATTATCATAAAACATACTTGAAATGTTCTGCCGGACACTTCCTGCCCTTGCAGTTCTGTCTCTCATCTGAGTTGTCACCACAGTCATTATCCCCATCACATTCCCACACTGATGGAATGCACTTCTTGTTCTTACAAGAGTACTGAAAAATATATTAAAAACAATGTTCAGACAAGAATAGGTAAAACAGATCATCTCACAAGACTTACAAACTACGATCACTTTGTTCAAATGCTAATCCTTTACATAAACTATTTCTAAATCAGTTACAAATTTCAAACCTTATTTGTATTAGATTCTTACCTGGTTAGGAGGGCAAGTCTTTGGTGGACAATTGTGTTCATCCTCTCCATCCAGACAATCAGGATGGCCATCACAGTGCTTGCTTATTGGAATACATCGGTCTGATAACGTCCCATTTCCTCGACATTTAAACTGTGTACTCAGACAAGTGTACTGTAACATTTAAATTGTTGTTAATAAAGAATGACAGTTCACATCAGAGAGATAGGAATAAAGACATAACGTCCAGACACTGCCTTCATTATTCTTATGTCAAATTTTTTCATGATTGTGTGATGGAGTTCTGTGGAGTATAGCTGCATGGGTGAGCTGGTTGGAATTCCTTAAAACAAACAGTCATTTGTATTAAGTGAGAGAGTGGGGGGGGGGGGGATTGTGCTCTCAAAGGAATGAAACTAGTGAGCCAGTAGCAGCAGTAGTAGAGAGTATCTTGAAAGAAGAAGGCTAAAAACTTTTATAAGCGTCCCAGTCAATTGCTATTTTTTCATTCCACATTCGATCCCCGTTAACGACCCTGAGTACCCGAGCTAGTCGACGCAAGAACCGAAGAAGGTGGACAGTTATATTACCTTTGGAGTGACCCTCGTAGATAGTACGATTACAGCAAAACTTTTAGGAAGACTGCATTATGTACTGTCAGATCACAATTTCAGAATGACCCTCTCAGTACATGCAATAAAAACATAACTTCAGGCCCGAAGGCATCATTAGATATTCGCAAATACACCTCCCAGTAAATGCAGTACAGTTAAATAACAGTCACAGGCCAAAGTTTACAGCCAACCAGAAGACTGCATTTAAAATCCTTGTACTTCCTCTACAATTTCATCGTCTCTTAAACTGAGGTCTTCTCATTTCTACCTTGTCTCACTTTTACTCTGTATAGGGCTGCTGTCAAGATCATGCATCAAAATCCCGAAGGAAGAAGAACAGCTGGAAGACCAAGCAAGAGATGGCTTGATGATATAGAGGAAGACCTCAAGAGAATGGGAGTTGGAGGTTCGAGAAGAAAGGTGGTGAACAGGCATTGTTATGGAGGCCAAGGCCCAATAGAGGCTGTAGCGCTGAAAGCGAGAGAGTAATCAGGACACCCATTATTCACCCCACTCGTTCATGAAATGTGGTAAAAGAAAAGACAAATTCTGATGTCAGAGTTCCTGTATTCCTGATTACTACTTGCGTACATGAAGCCTTAATGTGGATGCAGTGAGAATCTGCTGGTGTGATAGTGAACTGCATGTTGTTTTTTTCATTGGTGCCAGGGCAAAGCAGTATTAATTCCAAACATTTAATAAAAACAAAAACTAAACCAACAGTACAGTATAAACCACCTACAAGACATGTGACATATTCTAAACACTTGATGTTCAGTTGCTAATAAGACTCACTATTTTCAGGATGAAGCCCACAAAAAATAACCTGGACGAGGTTGAGACAACAGAGTAAGATGCAACTGATCCAGTGTTGTATAACATATTAAAAATAATGTTGACAGACAGCTGTCAAAGGATTATTTTTTAAAAAATTTGTAACAAATTTTTTGTTAATAAAACCAGACTTTATGGGAAACAGAAGTTTCTACGTTGTAGTGGGCCTTGCTCTGCAAGATTTCATCTATCGTGCCTCCGAGTGAGTGACGCAGAGTATTCCTGTTACACTCATAAGTGCGACACTTGTGATAGGAAGTTACGGTCAGCGAGGTCGGAAAATACTCCTGTTCGCTCTCTTAGGTCCGTATCGGCTTCTGAAACTGGCTGAAAAATGGCGACCGCTGTTAAGGAAGCTGCTTCCCATCGAAAAGCCATTGACGCTCAGAGTGCACAGCTCGAGGCTGTTTGGATTAATGGTGTTTACACCAACAGCAAGATCGAGAACCTAATTGAGATGGTTCTCAAGCTGACTGAAGAAGTCGGCCAACTACGCAAGGAAAATAAATCAATGAAACTCATGATTGATACCATGTATACGGCGGCACAACTTAGGGATCCATCTGTGCAGGATTTGTTGCCTCGGCGGGACGTGACGTAATTGGGAGGTCCCAAGGTTAACGCACCCAAATCCTACATGGATGCACTGTCGGATAGTGTTCGCAGGCGTGGTAATGTTTCTACTGCTATTTTGTCGCCTAAGACCACCACAAATGAAGTTCATTCTAGTCAATGACTGCTTTGTCACTGTTTCTAGGAACAAGAGGGTTGAACTTCCTGGGTCGGCTAACTCTTCCAAGAAAGTGAGGCCCGCAATGATTGGCGTGAGGAGCTCTTCTTCGCTCTCTTGTCATAACGAAAAGGGTGAGAACAAAGTCGCTGTTCGTCTCGCGACTTCTCCCCGGACGTCACTTCCGCAGATATAGAAGACTCACTTAAAGACCAATTAAAACTGACGTCGCTTACCTGCACCAGGTTAAAGACAAAATTTAGCTCGTATGCATCGTTCCATATTTCAGTTGTAGATGACAACTTAAATCTTGTCAATAATATCGGTGTCTGGCCTAGTGGGTGTTTAATTGCTCCGTATTTCGGTCGATTTACACTCGACCAAATGTATTCTGCCCCGACTGTTTCATCTCATCCGTCCTCCCCTGGTGTAGAGGTTTCAGCTTTAGGGGTGGCAACGTCAGATCAATTAGGTGCAAATGCCATTTGTAAGGAACCTCTGGAAGATGGGGCTACTTCACTCAGTTATTTGGCTCGCACCGGTGATGTCAACACAGGTGGTTTTTCCATGCCTACTAGCAAACAGCATTTAAATTCTTTCGACATTTATTACCAAAATGTCAGAGGTCTCAGAACCAAGCAACTCAAATTATACGATAATGTCTGGTCCTCTGGTCACAGTATCTTACGTTTAACTGAGACATGGCTTAACGACTCGTGTTACGATCACAATTTATTTCTGGACAGTTACACTGTTTCAGTTCTGACAGAATATGCATAAATAAGACGTGTGGAGGTGGAGTGTTAATAGCTTTATCCCTGTAAACGCAGGCACAATTTAGAATCTTTCGAAAAATGTGTATGAGTTGAAATCCCCACTTATGATGGTCTAAATCAGGGGTGGCCAACCCGTGGCCCGCCTTGAACATTTTTCCGGCCCGCGAGATTCATCACACTTTTACAAAATATATTTATTTTATAATGGCCAAAGTAGTGAAAACCAATGTATTAAAAAAATACATTATTTGTGCATCCATATATTCAAAAATTATCTGTCGAAATTATGAGAAAAAATTAACTTTGATTTTAAAATAATATTCTTGCGAATATATGACAGATATTGCCTGTTTTATTCATGAGTTTACAGTTATGAGTTCGCAGAATAATTAACGTTTTGTGTGCTGTGACTGCAGGATAATTATTTTAATATGCCTGTACTTCAACAACATATTTAAAACAACAACAGCCAGGTAATAACTCCTATTAAATTAAAAATGACTTTTAATTTAACAATTAAAAATAGATATATTTAATATCTCTCTTATTTTCAGTATGACTGCAAAGAAAAGAAGAATAGTGGATGAAAATAGAAAGTATAGCGATGAATGGGAAGAAAAGTACTTCTTCATAGTTCAAAATACAAAATTATTATGTTTAATTTGCCGAGAGGTCGTTGCTGTATTTAAGGAATATAATGTTAAGAGGCATTACGAAACAAAACATAAGGATTATTTGAAGTTCGATAAAGAAGTGAAACAATCGAAGCTCAAGGAGTTTAAGTCGCAATTAAAGGCTCAACAAAAAATGTTTGGTGCAGCATTACAGCAACCTTCCAATATTGTTAAGGCAAGCTATTCTGTTTCATTTGTGATTGTAAAAAAAATGAAAACATTTTCGGATGGTAAATTTGTGACAGAATGTTTGGAAGCTGTTGTGAAGGATATTTTACCTGATAAAAGTAAACTGTTTTCGAACCTAAGCCTATCTCGGCAAACAGTGTGTTGTCTATGTTTACATGTAAGAATAATAGTAAACACAATAATAATAACTCATTATGTTTCAATTTTTCACTCCAAAAAAATGTCTATAGTGTATCTAAATCTAATATGGGGATATATAATTTTATATGTGGCCCGCGGAGTTATGATGCATTTCCAAAGTGGCCCGAAAGATCATTTGGGTTGGCCACCCCTGGTCTAAATCTACTCATTGGCAACCATTACTTTCCCCCTGATGCTAAACCTGAAGTTGTTGCAAATTACTTTCGATTTCTAGAAAACAATCTGGACACAAAATTTTCGGGTTATTCTCATGGGTGATTTTAACACCCCTCGTTTTGACTGGAAGCACAGTCTCCCTCTGGCTAATTGCCATTATTATTCGAAACTCAAGGGAGATGCCATCTACACCTCCACGTGTCTTCTCGACCTCAGACAACCTATGGAAACTGTTGGCAGCAGTGGTCTCCTAGACCTAGTATTTACAAACTTCAGTGAGATGAGCACTAACTTTATTGATACTTGTATTGTAAAGTCGGATGTTTACCACCCACCTTTTGTTATTAATGTCCTATTTTCCATTAAAAGAGGTAAAAGCAATTCTGAACTTTCCTACCGTAAATTTGCATCTGGGGATTACACCTTGTTGTATAACATTCTTTCGAGTTATGACTGGTCATATATGTACAGTATCACCGCTGTCGATGATGCTGTCACTAGCCTGAACTCGGTTGTCTTATATGCTATAGATAAGGCTATTCCCCGTGGGTTTACCAGAAAATCAAAATTCCCTCACTGGTTTTCGAGTGCCTGACGGTACTACATCTGGTAGAAAGATTTCTTTTACAGACGTTTTGAAAGGAATAACTCTGATTATTTTTATAGTAAATTTTCCTTTTATCGCAAGCTAGTGAAGGCTATAATCAAGTCTGACAGACGTATTTGGTTGAAGTCGACTGACGACAATTTAAAGTCGCAACCCAAGCAATTTTGGAAATATGTGGCATCTCGTAGAAAAAGAAATTCCACTTGTATTCAGCTTGAGGTTAACGGTACTCATTTGACTGAACCCCATTCTGTTGCCGATGCATTTGCTAAGCATTTTCAGTTGGTCAACAGTGCCTCTTGTTTAGGCGTATCCCCTTCCCCTGTGGAGTCCTCTTGACTTCTTGTCTTTAGCCCCTATCTCCGAATTGAACATTTGGAAAGCAATTCGTCGTCTGAGACCTTCCAAATCTGTCAGACTTGATGACATTCCTAGCTTTGTTATAAAGGGTTGTTCGGAAATCTTTGTTCCTGTTCTCAAGCACATCTTCAACCTAAGTTTAACGCAGAATTATTTCCCTATTATATGGAAACAGGCAGCAGTAGTTCCTGTTCTTAAAAAAGGCAACTCTGCCACTGTTAGTAACTACCGACCCATTTCTATACTTAATACCTTTTTCCAAATTATTTGAACTTGTTATTTACGATCATATCTCACATTACGTAAAGTCTAAATTAAATCCTTGTCAGCATGGTGTTACTAAATCTAAATCTACAGTTACTAATCTCGTAACTTATCTAGATTTTAATAATCCAATAGTTGGCTCACAGGGTCAACCTGATGCTGTTTATTTTGATCTTAGCAGTGCATTTGATCTTGCCCCTCATACTCTTCTACTCAACAAGCTCTGTGCTTTTGGACACTCTGATGGTTACGTAAACTGGTTTCGTAGTTACTTCAGATATGCAGATGACACGGTCATCATAGCAAGCAGCCCTGCTGAGTTACAGCAAATGGTTGACAGCATTGTACAATACAGTGAAAGGTTTGGTTTATATATGAACACATCCACAACCAAAGCAATGGTATTCTCAAAATTACTGAGAAATATAGCCCTAAGAATCAATGGCAACATTGTCGAACAAGTGACATCAAAAAAGAAATAAGATCAAGAACCGAACAAGCCAGAAAAACCTTCGTTGGCATGAGGAGGTTCTCCGTTAGATCCGAACTAAGTCTAGAACTTAGGATTCGAATGC